TAGCTGGTGCCTTAGCCACTTGAGCCAGAGGCTCCGAGCCATCACCTGCTTTCTGAATGAACACAGAAGGTGCTTTCTCCACAAATAAGGTGCTTTCTCTTTAGCAGGACCAAAGAATTTAAGAGTCATCAGCAGACAGTTGTCATTTAGTATTTATTGAGCCCATACTTTGTGCCAGCTACTGTGTGGAGTGCTAGGGATGTAGTGATGACGAAAACAATTAAAAATCCCTGTCCATTTGGAGCTTGATTCTAGTGGGGGAGGCAGACAGTAATAATAGTAAAATGCTACATGTGATAATTGACATGAAGGGAAATCAAGCAGGTTAAGTGTAAAGGAAGGCCCTTCTGAGGACGTAACATTTCATCAGAAACCTGAATGCAGCGAAGGGGTGGTGAGCTGTGCCCAGATGTTTATAGAGGCTGGGTGGTGGGAACAGCACAGTTGAGATTTAGATGGTGAACATCTGTGGTAGGGAAGAGTGTGAGTAAGGTCAGAGAAGTCCACAGAGGCCAGCTCTAAGGGTAGTGGTTCTCAGTTTGGGGGCACGCATTATAGTCACCTGGTGAGCTTTAAAAACATTCCCCAATTAATCTCTAGGTTCCAAGGATTAGCCAAGTGTTGGACTTAGTGAGGTGGGGTTTTACAAGCCAGAGAAAGCAATTTTTATTTCATTTTAGATACAGTGGGGAAACCACTGGAGGGATTCAGGCTAGGGAATGAGGAAATCTGATTTGCTGGGAGGTGGGGGTTGTACTTTTTATTTATTTTGAAACAGTTTCACTTTGTTACCCTGAGTAGAATGCCATGACATCATCATAGTTCACAGCAACCTCAAACTCCTAGGTTCAAGTGATCCTTCTGCCTCAGCCTCCTGAACAAATGGGACTACAAGCACAATGGTGTGGGTCCACCACAATGTCTGGCTAATTTTATCTATTTTTAGTAGAGATAGGATCTCACTTTTGCTCAGGCTAGTCTTGAACTCCTGAGTTCAAGCAGTCTGCCTACTTGCCTGAGCTTCCCAGAGTATTAGGATTACACAGATGATCCACCACTTCTGATTTGCTGGGGGTTTTGGGGGTTTTTCGTAGTTTTTGGCTGGGGCTGGGTTCGAACCCACCACCTCCAGCATATGGGGCCAGTGCCTTACTCCTTTGAGCCACAGGCGCCACCCGTCTTTTTTGGCCGGTGCCTTACTCCTTTGAGCCACAGGCGCCACTGTCTTTTTTTTTTTGTTTTTGGCTGGGGCCAGGTTTGAAACTGCCACCTCTGGGTTTGAACCTGCTACCTCTGGTATATGGGGCCAGCGCCCTACTCCTTTGAGCCACAGGCGCTGCCCTGATTTGCTATTTTAAAAAGATCATTAGCTGTGGCTCAGCGCCCCATAGCACAGCAGTTATGGCACCAGCCACATACATGAACCCTCCCCAGGCCTGCTAAACAACAATGACAACTGCAACC